CAGAGAGTTACTCGTACTAGTTTGATACCGAGGAGGCTTGGAAGTGGGTAACGATGCTTGAACCTTTGTGCTTGATTGCAGGCACTGCCGACCTGACAATGGCAGAGTGGGCAAAGGCACAGAGTATTTTGGGAACACAGTCAAACATTGGAGTTACGCGGCAGCGCTAATCACGTTTGGTGGATAAAATCTCACGCATCGCGGCGGTTCTGTTTTGTCTGATGATTCAGGGCCATTACGTCGGGCTGCCGTCTCGCCCTTTGGGCCTAGTCTGGTTGAATGTGGCATAGAGACGTGGGCGCAGGGCTGTCTTTGGACTTTCATCGCATGGTTCGTGACGATCGTCTTTGATGGTCTGGTTGTCATGACTACATAAGGAGCCACCCGCTCGTCAGCGCTCCAGTTTGATGCTTTGATACCAGTACAAACACCCATCGGGGGACCACATCACAAAAGAGAGCAATTTGCATGTCCAACGCAGGAGTGGCAGCAAAGAGAAAGAGGGAGAATTAGAAAAAAAAAAAACAGCGACTAGAAATCACCATGACTTGGCGGCAAATGCTGCCGTGGTGCCCCCGAGGAATCCCTGAACCGGTCGCGAGATGCCCTTTATTTCTACACGCTGCCAGCGACTATCGAATCACAGGCTTGACCCTCGTAAAAGAGCCGCTTCAGCCGGCGTTGACGGATTTTGTTGATTGCATCTCTCACAGCCTATTATCGCATGAGGGGCCACGGAGCGTCAAAGATCAACGGGGCCAGGCGGAGGGTAAAACAATGGGCGCAGCGAACAGAGACTGTGATCCAGAAATTTATATTTAGTGCCCGCCAACGGTACAAAGTGCTGACTGAATCCTCGTATGAGCAAGTAGTAATAGCAATATACTTTGGGCTGCGGGCATCGCCGGAAGCTTCATCTCTTTGCTCGAACGACTGCCGATAGTGCCGTGCCCCAAGCTTTCCATCACAACCGTCCGTATTGCAAATACTGCAGCTTCAAGCTCTGTTGGTGATTATGCCTGGCAAAATACGAATGCTGAGATGAGACATACGAGGAAAAAAAAAATCTGGGGAGATGAGATGGGGGATGCTGGCTCGACCCACCTGGAGGACCCAGACAGTACCAATATTGGCACCATCCGGCTTTGATTTTCGCGCCTCAACGCTCAACTGAGGGGCCTCGAAAAGAGTCTTGCCGTCGCATGTAGAGGCTGGGATTCATCCTGTGCGCATCAATTCGCTGCCAAAATTTGCCGGAGAGAAACAGAGACAGCCCGGGAGTAGTGCAGTCGACAAGCAGCGTCTCGTCCGCCCAAACTCCCCAATTTCCCACCCCCTGGCCGCCACAATAATCTGCGTCTCGTTGTTTCTGCCTCTCAAGGTGACGCTATAGCCACTCTCAGTTAGCAGCTCAGGCGGGCGACCTGCGCCATTGGGTGTTAGTGGTAGCCAGGAGGGGGGGGCAAAAGGGCCTCAGCCGCCGCCATAGTGCCATTTGCTGGTTATTCTTGGGTGGCAGCGGCGCTCAGCTACAGCGGATTTGTGCTGAAGCCACGCGGATATTACGAGGGAGGCTAATGTAGTTTGGGGTGATGTGCTTTAGCCCGGTGCATAACGCGGTTTGCCGTGATCCCGATTTCGATTTGCAAACGCATCGCGAGCTGACGAGGCTTCTCTGTTTCTCTCTTGTTCATCCTCCCGTCTTTCTCTTTGCAGTGTGAAGAAGTCCCTTTGAAGCAGTAGAAACGAGAGAGCGGGCGTTTGGCAGCTGCTCTGGTCTGTCTGGTGCTTTGTTCTCTCTCCCCCCTCCTGGTTCGTCTTTGCGTTTTCTCGTGTATCGTCTCGAAGCCAAAAGTCTTTCTCTCTCGTTTTCAAGACTAACGATACGAGCCCCCATTTCAACAGCTCATAAAGGAGGCAAAGCAGAAGAGGAAGAGAGTCATTCGCTTTTCCAGAGTCCCACGATCGCTCACACGGTCCCTAGGTCGGCTTACCAGGTCCCATCTCCATCACCAAAGATATCTATCATTTCTTTTCTTTCCCCCCCACGGCCCTCTTTTTCCCCTTCTCTTTTTATATCTACATCTTGCAGACTGCAGTTCGCGCCCTGTGCTTACCCGCATGCGCCTTTGATTGATTTTGCGCGCTGCTGCTCTCTTTGCGAATCTGAATCCCTGTCGACTAGCTGCTGCGTTTCCATTGATCCATCCACATTGATCGGCATTGCGTTGGCCCGCCATTGAGTTGGGATTTCCAATAAACAAAAAGCTCTTCCCCCCCCCTAGGTAGTTCCATCCCAATTGGCCTTGATCGATTGCGACGCAGAAGCGGCTCGACGTGCAATTGCTCTTGGCCGCCAAAACGTCGCGAGCCAGAATCACGAATCCACTGACTCTGTGTAGCCCCAGATCGAAGCCGCCATGCAGCGCTACGGTGAACACGGCGACTCTCCCGAGAGCGAGCCTCTCGATGGCTACGGCCAGTCGCATCGAGGAGTTTCCCCCGACAGCCGCGGCTACTCGCCGCCCGAGATCTATCACGACCAGCATCAGCCTCCGCCGGTGCCCTCTCACCAGCATCAGCATCAGCATCAGGGCCAGAACTACGGCTACGACCACAATCAAGGCTACGAGTACGACTACGATGGCCAGGCTCCTCCCCCGCCTCAGCATCACCAGGGCGACAACGGCTACTTTGCCGGCGGAGCACGCAATGACGGGTATGCGCAACAGAACATGACAAACTCCCGAGGATATTCCCAAAACAATGTGACCCCCGGCGCTGACAACTTCAGCGACATGGCCTCTGGAGGAATGGCTGGCATTGCCTATGGAGTAGCAGAGCGAAACGCACGAGAAAGCGGCATGCAGGCGGCCCATGGCGGACTGCCACCGCCGCCATCCCACGCTCGATATCCCGACGGCTACGACTATCCCCCAGATGAGCGCGGCTCGCGAACCACCTTCAACCCCCTGGGCATGCCGACTGCAGCTCACAGCTCGCGATCGCCCTCCCGCAGCACGCGCGATCCCTATGCCGACGACCACTATCCGCAGATGTATCCGCCCAACTCGCGGAATAGCAATCCGATGCTGGGCATGTTCAATCCTAATGAGATTGTGGATGACGGCGACGATGGTTTGGATTATTCGCGACGTAGCCAGCGCAATTCCATCCTGAGCGCCTCCAACTCGGATCGAGTAGCCAAGGGAGCTGCCGTTGCGACTGTTGCAGCCGGAGGAGCCTTGGCTGCTGGCGCCATCAAGAGCGCCTTGGGTCGTAATGGTGAGTTGATTTCTTCACATCAGACGCGGTGCCTGTTCCTCCTTCTCTCTCTCTCTATTTGGCTGCTGTTCTTATTGATGCCTGTGCTTTGAATTCCATGGGATGAATATCCGCTGACGGCTTGATATGTATAGCTCAAGCAGCAGCAGGGGGTAATGGCGGAAGGGACGAAGGCGGAGGCATGCTCTTTGATAACGGTAGCACCGAAGAAAAGTCGGCCTGGATGGCACAGCAAGCAACCAAGAGCAAACGATGGCGCTGGGCCATTACCATCCTCGTTGTAGTCATCATTATCGGTGCCGTCGTTGGCGGCGTCGTCGGAAGTCAAGTCGGTAAACATGGCAGCAAGTCCAGCAGTGGAAGCAGCGGCTCCAAGGGTGGCAGCGGCGGAAGTGGAAGTGATGGTAGTGGCAGTGGCTCTGACGATGACAGTGGTGATCTTGACATCAACAGCCAGGAGATCAAGGACCTGCTCAACAACCCCGACCTGCACAAGGTCTTCCCCGGCGTCGACTACACGCCTCTCAACACTCAGTACCCCGACTGTCTGCACAACCCTCCATCGCAGAACAACATCACTCGTGATGTGGCCGTGCTCAGCCAGCTGACCAACAAGATCCGTCTCTACGGCACTGACTGCAACCAGACCCAGATGGTCCTTCACTCCATCTCCCAGCTGGAGATGACCAACGACATCAAGGTGTGGCTGGGCGTCTGGCAGGACAACAACGCCACGACCAACGCTCGCCAGCTCAAGGAGATGTGGAACATTCTTGACAAGTACGGCGATGACCCCTTTGAGGGTATCATCGTTGCCAACGAAGTGCTCTTTCGCCAGCAGTTTACCGTTGCCAGCTTGGGCGACCTCCTCGACGACGTGCGCACTAATCTGACCAAGAAGAACCTGAATCTCCCCGTCGCTACTTCCGACCTGGGAGATGACTGGACTCAAGCTCTTGCTGCCGATAGCGACTACATCATGGCCAACGTTCACCCCTTTTTTAGTGGAACAAAGGCGACTGACGCTGCTGCCTGGACCTGGAACTTTTGGAGCGACCACGACGGCCCGTTCTGGAAGTCGGACAAGTCCAAAAACGTCATCTCCGAGACGGGCTGGCCTACGGGAGGAGGCAAGGACTGTGGAGGTCCGTCGACCTGCGATGCTCCCGCCGTGGCAGGCATCGACGAACTCAACACCTTCATGAGCGACTGGGTCTGCCAGGCGCTCGAGAACGGCACAAACTATTTTTGGTTTGAGGCCTTTGACGAGCCGTGGAAGGTCGTCTACAACACGCCGGGCCAGGAGTGGGAGGACAAATGGGGGCTGATGGATGCCAACCGGAAGCTCAAAGACGGAGTCAAGATTCCCGACTGCGGCGGCAAGACTGTTTAAAGAAGCCAAGGGCTGTTTTGTTTTGTTTTTCTTTGCTCTCGATAACAAGTGTCTTGAGATTTAGCCCTGTTTTTCTTTGAACAAAAGTCTTTAATCAGCTAATGAGGCATGACGGAAATGACGATCGATTCTTTGTGTGCTACTATGCACTTCTCTCTACCTGCTGACTGCGAGTCTTGTTCTATCACTATTGTACATTTTTTTTCTCACGTTTTTAAATCTTTTTAATCCGCCAGTCTTTTCTTCCAATGTCCCCCCTACCCTGCACTACTATGTTCGGAGGATACTCCGGGGGCTGGGACGGCTCAAGGTAGCAAAAAAATCAATCGGAAAAAGGCTCTTGTTTGATGAAGATATTATCCATCTCAACGTGCTCTTGTTTGATGTGGACATCATCCATCTCAGCTGGTTCATCATCGTCTTCGATGGTGATGTAGTTCATCTGAGCACGCTGCTCGCGTTGGACGTTGAAAGTGTACGTCTTATCACCTGGCTCGTCCTGGACGTTGACAAGGCCCAACTTGGCAGTAGCCGGATGCTCAGGGTACTTGAGGTACAGACAGGTTCCATAGAAGATGGTGTTGTTCTCATCATCAGGGAAGGGGACGTGCTTATACGTCTCATGCATCTTCTTGATGGCGCCAAGGTGGTTCTCTTCTTCTTTCGACTGCGAAACATTGGCCCTAGAGATAATTAATATCATGTATATACATTTCCTTTTCAATTTGAAAAGGAAAGAAGGAAAGAAAATCAAAGCAACTTACTTTTCCCAGACAACCCAGTCAGTGCCAACCCAGACTACTGGGATCTCTCCCTTGAGAGCCATGCCGTAGACTTCCTTGTACAAATGGGGGCCGAAGAAAAGCGTTCCAGCAGTGACCGAGTTGCTGGCGACGGGCGATTCAACCACTTCATGGCCCATTGCGGTGAGAAAAGCAATGTCGCTGGGGGTGAAGAGAGGCTCCTGGAAAGTGCATTTGATCTGCCCGCTGCTGGTGTTCTCCTCTATTTCGTGACAAAGTTAGTGGACGGGCGTGGTGTAGAGAAACGAGAAGAGAAGCGATCAAAATTTTAAGAAAGGTGCAGAGGAGCAATCAGAAGTTTAAGAAAGGTACAGAGGAGCGATCAGAAGTTTAAGAAAGGTACAGAGGAGCGATCAAAAGTTTAAGAAAGGTGCAGAGGAGCGATCAGAAGTTTAAAGAAAGGTGCAGAGGAGCAATCAGAAGTTTAAGAAAGGTGCAGAGGAGCGATCAAAAGCTAAGAAGAGGGAAAACAGTACCAAGCAAGCTGACCATGTGCAGCATAGCAGCAAGTTGCATATGAGCTCGTCTCTTGAGCTGCGGGCTTCCATCAGCAGGATCAAAGGAACCAATACCCAGGCTGATGGCCTTGGTGACAGGTTTCTCATTGTTGACGTTCAAAGCATCAGAGGCAAACTCTTTGATGGTATCATGAAGAGTTTTAGCAGTGTTCGAGGCTTTGAACTGAGCGTTGTAGTTGTCGAAGTCTTTCTGCATCTCCTCCACAGCAAGATGCGGGACAGCTCGAGCTGCGTCTGGGAGAGTATAAGGGCCTGGACCGAGTCCTTGAATGCGTCGAGATCGTCGGCGCACCACGGTCCACTCTTCGGAAGCCTGCATATTGTTCATAAGCTGCAGAGACTGGGGGGGGGGGGGGGGGGGTGGCATATATTGAGGGATGCACAAAGTTGGTTGGTTGTTAAGAGTGAGTGGGTGTGTGGTGGGAGAGATTCCACAGCGGGTGATATAGTGCGCACGGACCCACTTAGGTTTGAAAGGACAAAATTACCGAGACACCAAAAAGTATCCGCACAAAATAAATATTCCATGCGCACAGACCGCCCACGTGATTGTCTCGAAGGTCCGTGCGCCCGCTTTGCCAATGTGTGCGCATATTCACTTTGCGCTCCCAGGATTTTGGCAGACTGGGAAAAAGACATTAGTAGTTGTCTAAAGGAGTCTTTCATTAGAGTTGAAGGAAAATAAAAAATCGTGAAGGCCTATATAATGGAGTGCATTCATTATCAATGGATATTGCGTTTTTACTTTGTTTGATTTTTTTCTTATGTATGATTGATTTGGTTTATTGTAGGTAGTACCTGTACTTTCAGGTAGGTTCAATAGTACAGGTAGGTAGTCTCATTATAATGCGCTGTGCCTTAGCGTTCCTGGAGCTAGCATTCAACTGTAGAGATACGCTACGGCACGTTGCGCGCATGGGCCAACCCTGCACCTTAAAAAAAGTTGCCCTGTTTACAATAGATTGAACTAGTAGTAACAGCATTAATATCTCCAGTTGCAGCTGGAAGTAAAAATCAAATATGTTCCTAATAGTACTATGCTTGGATTGTTATATTAAAGAAAGCAATAAGGAGATACTTTACATTACCTGAAGTTGTAGATGAGAGAATATGTCATCTTAGAAGTTGGATAACAGTTAAGTGAGAGTACAGCAAGGCCTGCGAGAGGCTGAAAATCAATCGTTGGACTAGGGACGCGCATCTTATTGAGTTTGAGGGCATTGATATTGTCAGCTGCATAATAACAGGCGTGGCCAAGTCCCATGGCCTAATGCTGCCCTGACGCCTACTGTTATTGCTGATCGAGGAGGCTGCTGAAACCCAAGAGTTTAACATCGCCGCCGTAATGTTCCTGTCCCCGAGGTGGTTGGCACCCGTTGGTGATCACAAGCAACTGGTCCCTTATGTTGCCGTCCACCGTCTCTCCGAACCTCCTTTGCATATGAATGTCTCTATGTTTGAGCGCCTCGTGGTGCTTAACTTCCCGGTCAAGAGGCTTTAGGTGCAGCGGCGCATAATCCCCCAGACCCGCGAGATTGTCCAAACATCCTACCCAATGCTGCAAGACTACCCATCAGCGCTGCTGCGCCCGCTTGTCGAAGGCATGGTTGCAACAACTCTCTGGTGGTATTAGCACGAGCACCCTCATAAGCTGGAGAAGATGTCAGTGAACAATTTGCAAGAGGCTCGGATGATTGTTGGCTTTCTCAAATACCTCATTACCGGCGGAGCCCGTCCCTATAAGGTGACAATCCTAGCATGGGATCGCGCCGGTCGGATGCGCCAGGAGAAAGTCGATCATTACCGTGTGAAATGCCATCAGAGGTGGGATGATGGGTTATTAAAGTTCCCATATGCCTTGTGTTTTCTTTTCTGGTAGACTCGACGTAATTGACAGTTCCACAGGTATTGTAGCAGCTCTTTTAGACCCTTGTGGATGCAAAAGTTCTCCACGATGTTGTCGAGCTATGCGTATCCTAGGTGGTTCGCGGCGCAAATGCAGTCTTGCTGGTCCTCCCAAGATATCCTTCCACGGCAGGCTCTCGTTCTATCGGAATGAAAGTGTCGCCCGATCTTCCTCTGACAAACGGCTGTCATCTTCATGAAGTTGTGCAATTCGCCGCCATAGGGCACGCGATCCACTTCCTCCAGGGCCACGTACCGAGGGCTTGTCGAAGCGTTCGAAAACCGACTTCCTTGTCTATTCCAGCAGCAGAAAGAAGCTGATCGTAGGTCAATCAGCGAGCTTCGGGTCTTCGAGCCATAGAAGCCTTTCCAACTTATCAGGGTCTCCTTGTGACAGCAGTTCCTTCCGGCCATGGGCCTTGTTGACTTGGCAAGCGTTGGAAATTTCGTTGTGGGAAAAGCTATAACTGTAGCGTTCCTTTTGCCGCTGGGCAAAGGCAAAAGCGCCTTTGACTTGGGCCTTTTTGGGAGTATCGTGATGATAGAATTAAACCTTAGCTTGCCGAGGCATTGTGCTAGAAATAAAGAAGAAGGTTAGCCAGTTTGAATAGGCAGAAAATGCCGATTGGAATGACGTAAAGAAAGTTATTATCTCAGCGTTTTTGGTGATGTTGCGTGCGTAATATTCCAAAAAGGCCCCCGCGCACAGTTTCTCAGGGAGAAGGAGAATCTTTGATTAATATTACCAAAGTTTCCAAATTAATTTGTATAGGGCGGTTCAGCGGTCTAACAGGCTTTGCTGCAAGCCCATTTGTGCAGCGGGTGACGGTGAATGCCAATTGTTTTCAAATTTCCTGGTTTTCGATATTCTCCCGGCTGGCTAGTCAGGATACAATATATGTCGGGCACAAAGGGAGATTATGATGCATTGATCCCTTCTCCGTGAATCATTTGTGCGTTGCCGATAGTACTTGCGTGTAAAACTGTAGGCAGTGTACCGTTACCTGATGCGGGTGTGGTTTGATTCGGCGGCAGCCATCCGTGATGTTGATACTCGTCTGTTCACCAGCCTTTAGGGTGGTGTGCCTTTCTTTGCCTCCAAGGCACCACAGCTCCTCCATCAGTGGTACAGTCCCGGTCCAAAAGTGACGATGCAACCCCACATTCCCATACAAATGCCTATGTTATAATAATAAATTACTCCACACTTTTATATTATAAAGGTAATAAAAAACTTTAAAAAATAACTATTTATATATAAGAATATTATATATATATTAAATAAAGTTTATATAATAAGTAAAAAAATATATATATTATTATTTTAAATATAAGATTCTTTAGATTTTTTAACCCACTATAATTACAGCGGATTAGCGGTCCCATAACCAGAATCTTAGTGGAAAATACGCTAAATTATAGCACACTAACCACTATATAAAATATCCCCGTTTTTTAATAGCTATTTAAAAATTAATATAAAATTAAAGAAAAATAATATAATAAATAAGGCTGTATAATAATAATATTTAACTATTTATTTATTCTAATATTTGTTTCTTTTATTTTTTTATTTTTATTTTATAAGTAAAATCTAGGTTTTAAAATCTAGATTTTAGTGGGTTTAGTATAGGATTTTTAATCTGCATCGTCACTTTTGGACCACCACTGTAGTACCACCTTGAAGGTAGTCTAGTAGGCCTATGAATACACAGCCCAGGTCAATATCAATCAATCAATCAATGTCAATCAATCTCATCGGCCCCCTTACCTAGCCAGCCGCCGACAGCTAATAACAGCTGTCAGTCCTAATTACTGCTGAGGCTTTAGTTGTCCCCGTCTGCACTGAAGCAAACGGCCCTGGAAACATTGAAAGCTCTGACCCCACCAGAGCCTTGCAAGGTCGCAGTCGCAGTCGCAGCAGAGGCGCTACCAGCTACGAGGCAATCTATCGGGAGTGCGAGGCACAATGCTAGGTATTAGCTTTGTTTTATGCTGAGATTGCACGGGTTGGTTGACTGATCTTGTGAAGACCTGGCAGTTGGTTCAAAGAGATAAAAGAGAAACATTGCTGCATTTCCTTGACGAGGTCTGAAACTGCGGCTTTGAGGCTAACATTGACGTTGGGAGTCAGTATAGTCATTATCAGGCCCAGGATACTATCTCCTCTGTAGGGTGCAATATCGCGACCCAGTGCTGGGTTCCCAGGGGTAGCTAGCTGTATTAGACGAATTATTAGCAAGTGATGGCAGAACAATTACCCAAATTGCTAACATAGGGGTTGCTAATGTTGTGTTATGTAGCAGAATTCTTGTATTTTGGTAAATGGGCGAATTACTAACCTCAGATTCGTTTTGTTTGAAATGGTATGGTGTTTTAATAAGAAGAATGAAGATATGTTATTTGTGATGAAATAACCCTAGCTGTGACGACGGCCTTGTTTCATTTCCTGAGGAACGAGGCCGCAGCTTGTTGACCAAATGATTCCGTAGCCTGTTCTCGCGCCGTGATCCTCATAGCTGTCGGACGAGCTTGATTTCTTGTGTTGCGTTTGGTACCCCCTAGCCCTGTTCGAAGGTACGTTCCCTAGCTGTCGACAACATGCTGTGAGAAAAGAGATAAAAAAGATGAAGTAGATAAAAGAGAGGAATGAGATGAAGGAAAGGCCTGTTATTGGTGAAAATTGAAAATAGAAAATAGTAAAATCTTACAGCAGATCAGTACTTTCAGTCTGCAACCCTGGCAACATCTGCAAGCCTCAGGGCCAAGCTAAAGTTGAAGTTGCGAGGCTTCCAGCCGCTCAGTAAAATGGACGCAGCAAAGCAAAGCTTCCCGCCTTAGTCATCAATTACGTAGCTTGCTTCTCCCCCGGGCCAGAGCAAACCGACCATCTCTGCTCCTCAATTGGAAGTTCGGCTGCGTTGCGCGCCCTCATTCTTTGCTTCCTTGTCGCTCTTTGTCTTCTTCCACGAGTGACTGTAGTTTGCTTGTGTTTTGCCTCCTCTTTGAACCGACCAGCGCCGACGCGACGACGAAGATGGACGAGGAAGACCAGTCACGAGCCAGCTCGCCGACCTCGGATCGAGACAACGAGCCCGATGAAGTGATGGAGGACGCTGACGAGGGCGATAGAGAGGAAGATGGTGATGGCGATGGTGAAGCTGATGCTGATGCTGATGCTGATGCTGACGCTGACGGCGACGGAGATGGCGACGGAGATGGTGACGGCGAAGGTGAAGTTGAAGCCGATGGTGATGGTGAGGGAGAGGGAGAGGGAGAGGGTGAAGCCGATGGCGAAGGCGATGGCAACAACGACGAAGAGGCGGCGGGAGAAGATGACAATGGCGACGACGAAAACACCGTCGTCGTCGCCGGCGAGGGCGAAACCGCTGACGGCGACAGCAGAGTCCGCGACAAGCAGCCCGAGTCGCCTAGGAGGAAGTCCGACACGCCCCAGCTCGACCAGCTGCCGTCTCTCTACCGAACGTGGAGGCCCAAGATCCGTTCCGAGGTCTACAGCGCGCGTCTGTACGACATTGTTCCCACAATGGCAGCGCCCATGTCGACGAGCATCAATGCCATGGCCATCACGCCAGATCTGCGGTACTGGATCACGGGCGGTGCCGACGGCTACATCCGCAAATACGACGGCCCAGGCACCATCAATGGCAAGCTGGCCTTGACCGTCGCGCAGAGACACCCGTTTGTCGACTCCGTCACAAAAGCAGGCATCCTCATGTCGTACTGGCCCAACGAGGAGCCAGCCGTGCCGGGGCGCAACGAGCAGGAGCATGTCTTGTCCTCTGTCTACTCGCTGGCCGTCCATTCCGAAGCTCTCTGGCTTCTGTCTGGCCTCGAGTCCGGCGCAATCAACCTGCAGAGCGTCCGTCACGATGAGGGCAAGAGGATAGCATGTCTTCAGAAGCACACTAACGCTGTCAGCGTGCTGACCTTGGCGCCCGACGAGAGAAGCGTGCTCAGCGGAGCGTGGGACAAGAACATCTTCGACTGGGATCTCGATACAGGGCATATCAAGCGAAGCTTTGACGGTAGTGGCGGACAAATCTCTTCGATTGAGCTGCGGCCCGCGAGCGGCGCCCCGATTCCAGCAGACGCTGACGAGCCTCTGCCTTCAAGTACCATATCTACCAACAACGGGGCACCGATGGCCAGCTCCAGTTTTGCGGAAAATGCGAATGGCGGGAGCCCCAATGGACAGGATCGATCGATCACAGTCGCAATGAGGGGGGAGAATGACGCTGCCGACGCAGCCTCGCCCGCTCACGAGAGTCTTTTTGGTGGAAGTGACGCCGGAAGTCTGTTCGGTGAGACGGCGGGAGAGCAGCCCTTTGGGCAGGACGACGATGAGTTTGGCGGTGGCATGAACATGGAAGCAGGACACGAAACAGGGATGGACCACTCAGCCGACAAGGCAATGAGCAGCATGGCTGCCACAGAGGCGGACAAAGAGCCCAAGCAATCAGGACCAGAAGACGATGCCATGGACGTTGATCACCCGAATCCAGAGCCAACCCCAGCTCAAACATCGGTTGAGGCTTCTACTTCAGCTCTAGGCCTCGGAGATACCCAAGTCTCGACACTCTCGGGGGTAACAGAACAGACAGAGATGGCGACGGATACTGATACAGTCAAGGCGGAGGAATCGAGCCAGACTCTGCAGCAAGACCAGTCAATGGAGAGCCAGTCTGCAGCTGACACGTCGGAGCCACATGGCATCAAGAGACCGCACTCTCCAATGATTGTCAGCTCACAGCCACCTCCGACTCAACACGATGCCACACAGGTATCACAGACAACCTTCTTGTCGTCAGCCATTGATGGGACGATTCGCGTCTGGGATCGGCGAGTGCCCAGCGCAGTAGCCAGGATTCCCAATCGCGTCGGCGTGCCTCCTTGGTGCATGAGCGCTTGCTGGAGCCCCGACGGCAACAAGATTTATGCGGGCAGACGTAATGGGACAGTGGAGGAGTTTGACATTGCCAAAGCAAGGAGGGGATGGCAGCCTGAGAGAGTGCTTCGATTTCCAGCGGGGAGCGGTGCCGTGAGTGCAATCAAGCCCATGGCCAACGGGCGACATCTAGTCTGGTAAGTCGATGCAATTTCGCGTTTGTTGGTAACAATGAGGGGAGATTGTGAAGAAAGGGAATGTGGGACTTGCAAAAGAAAGACGAGGCGATTCTGAGAAGCAAATGGAAGAAACAAAAGAAATGCGCGGACGATGGCGTAGGGGAAGGGGGGAAAGGTAAACAAAGAGGAAGAGAAGGAAAAGGAGAGTATGCTCAAGCGAGGAGCGATGGTCTTCTCCGCGGTTCGTTCTCGCATTTGTTCAAGGCTGACAAGACCTCTCTGTGTTTAGCGCATCACACGACATTCTCAGGCTGTATGATCTGCGCGAGTCTCGCGCTTTCAAGCACTCAACCGTTCCATTCCTCATCATCCCCGGACCCCCCAGAGCGGGTGTCATTTCGAGTCTGTACGTCGACCCTACGAGCAGATTCATGCTCAGTGCCGCGGGCACCCGTGGATGGGACGGTACAAACACCGAGGTGTTGATCGGATATGAAATTCAAGTTGTTTCGAGTACTTGAAGAGACACGCGGTGATGTTTCCAAGGCGGGGAGATGGCATTCGGTTCTGGCGACAGCATTGTTAGCCAATGATAAAGGGCGGAGTTTGGGGGCTTTTTGGGACCTAGCATCTGCAAATAGTGTGATTTTTGGTGTTTGGGAGTTGGTGATTTGCAATGGGTGATACCATGGAGGGGGAGAGCAGGCCTGGTTTATGCGACAGTGCGAATAATTCACGCGCTGAACTGGCTGGACTGGTAAAATCAATCGATAGAAATAGCTGAGAGTGGGTGAGAAAGGTATTTGACAAGATTCGACTGGGAAGTTAGGTAACAAGTCGGCCGAGAGGACTGAGAAGATGGAAGCGAGGAGAAGATGGTTGTTTGGCAGAAAAGCAACAAAGCGTCGACAAATTCCTCTATTTCTGCCCCTAATAACTCCTTCTCTTTTCTCATCCTCTCTGCTCCACTCCCTCCTCCTTTTCATCTCTCTCTCTTTCGCTTTTTCAAATTCCCTGGTTTTTAGAAAACTACTTTGTTCACGAATTCCGCCTTCTATCCACCGCCTTGCTGCCTCTTTGTTCATGAATTCCGCCTTCTATCCACCGCCATGCTGCCTGTTCGACATCATCGCCAGAATGTGGTGGTGATTTAAGTGATTGAGCATGCTCTCCGGTGCCCTTCGCCGCGTCTAGGCCAGCATCAGTTCGTCGCGGGGGAAAAGGGCTTCGGGAACGTGGCTCCTCCAACTTTGTTCATGAATTCCGCCTTCTATCCACCACCAAGCTGCCTGTTTGATATTCTTGCCAGAACGTGGTGGTGGTTTAAGCCGATGAAGAACGCAGCGAAATGCATGCTCTCCAGAAATGACCAAGCCATTCAGAGTCTGTGTCGAAATTTCCATTGCCTTCTTATTCACCTTGGCGACATCTTTAAGCGATGTGAATTGCAGAATTCAGTGAATCATCGAATCTTTGAACGCACGATTTGGCATGCTCTCCAGAAATGACCTAGTCGTTCAGCATCTGCATCGAAATTTCCATTGCCTTCTTATTCACCTTGGCGACATCTTTTGCGTCTTGCTCCCATTGGGCCCCTTCAGCTGGCTTTCTGGCCTTGATCGAGTCTCGATTGGCTGTTTCGTACTCATCCAGGGTATGCTCTGAAAGCATACCCTGGATGCTTTCCCTGCCCTTTGTACACACCGCCCGTCGCTACTACCGATTGAATGGCTCAGTGAGGCGTCCGGACTGACAAAGACGAAGGAGGAACTGGCGAAAATCGACATGTGTAAAGGAGAAGACGAGGCGAGGGGAGCCGGGGCAAAACGAATATAGGAATGTTGATAGAATGTTGATTCAGATTGGGCTGGCAACAATAGAAGCGAGTTTTACAGCAGTTGAGATTGGAGGAAGGAAAATGTGCGCTCGCGTAAGGTAGGATGGGATAAGAGTGGAAGTCAACAGTCACGTCACATGCAGCGGTACCTTCCTCGAGAGTCGAAAATCAAACAACACCTAGGGCAGGCAATTACTCAGCAAACAAGTCCATCATTTTTACCAAAATAACAAAACATGTATTTATCAATCTCTATACCTTAAGCAAGTCAATTGCATCATTTCCCAAAAGAACGTCCAGAATCCATCTCCATTTTCCTAGGCATTCCAGATGCCATTGTCCAACTAATCACTCCGACTCCGTTGCGATAACTGCTTAACGAACGACCAGCCAAAACAAACAAGCAAACGAGGGGATGGGGTGAGGTAAATGGGTAGGTGTAGATTAAATGCAAACAGGAGATTGGGGAGAGGCAGTTGTGTAGAAGTAAATCAAGGGCAGACCAACAAACAAAAGGAAAGAAAGAAAAACAACAGCCAAAAGCCATCAATTCCAATCAGCAAACCAGCCGCCAGGGTCCTCCTAGTCCTACTCAGCGTCAGTGGCGAGAAGACGAGCCCCTGTGGCCGTGAGAGCTGCTCTTGTCAGACCTGGATCCAGAATGCTTCGAAGAGGAAGAAGTGCCATGCCTTGAAGAAGAGCCATGCTTTGAAGAAGACTCGTGCCTTGAAGAAGAGCCATGCTTCGAGGAAGAGCCATGCTTCGAGGAAGAGTCATGCTTTGAAGAAGAGCCATGCTTTGAGGAAGAATGCTTGGAAGAGGAGTGCCTAGACGAAGAGTGGTGCTTCGAAGAAGAATGCTTTGAAGACGAGTGTCCAGCACCAGACGGCCTAGAAGAAGAGTGCCTCAAAGTAGAAGGCTCGCCGGCAACATTTCGAAGACGCTCTCGAACCTCAGCGTAATCCTCAGGGGTCATGCCCGGAACAGGGGGAGTATTGGGCCGAGAAGGCAGGTTCTCAAGCGCTTCGTGATCAATCTCGACACCACGTTCACGCATGTCCTTATATTTTGCATTGTTGCGCTCATTCTGGAAAATACCAAGAAGATTCTCAGAAGACTGTTCTTCTTGGGGGTAAAGCGAATCCTCTTCGACGTTGTATCCATAGTCCATATTCTCGGGAACATCGCGCTGCCACTCCTCAACCCACTTGCTTAACTGTTCGTCAGTGACAGTGTGGAAGCTTGCCTGTAGCTGTTGGCACTTGACCTGTTGATCCTTGGTCAGCGTTTGCCAGGCAGGGTGGTTCTCGAGGGCAAATTCTTGATCGGACAAGTTTTTCAAAAGGTCGAATCGTAGAGCTTGCACGGCCTTCCGTTGCGCATCCTGTGGCGAATCCCTGCATTTACTGCCTTTGCAGCATTTGGACTTGGATGAGGAGCCGTGCTTAGACGAATAGTGGTGCTTGGATGAAGATCCATGCTTGGACGAAGAGCCGTGCCTGGACGAAGAGTGATGCTTGGACGAAGAGCCGTGTCGGGAAGAAGAATGCTTGGAGTGCTTCTTGGAGCTCTCCTTGGAAGGTCCGCTACCCATTTTGGATGGAGAATACTGTAGAGGTTGGGAACTGTGGTGTCTGGCGTCAGTCTATCGGTTGGATGTGTAGTTGAGTAGGTATTAGAGTCTCAGCTGGATCGTAGTTGAATAGGTGTCAGTGTATCCGCTGGGTGTAGCTGAATAGGTGTCAATGCTCTGGTGGATGTGTAGTCGAGCAGGTAGGTACTATTGCTCAAGATTGTGATTGCGATGAAGAGTGATGGTGATTCGAATTTCCAACCTTTTCCCAGAGGACATACCATTTTATACACTCTCCGAGAGGTGCCAAACAGACAGCAGTCACTCTTTCGCCGCGACGCAAATCTTTGTCGACAGCGTCCATCCGTGATTCGAACACCGTCACCACCTCCCACATCTTGCTAAACATCTCGACTTCCGCAATTCACTGGGAGAAAAAAACAAAGCCATCGCTCTGAACAAATCCAATATTATCCCAGAAACACCCATTTGCACACTCGACGAACGCTGAACACCAACCGAAAACTGAACCAAACATCCGTCTGGCTTTAATTTTGGGTATATTTAGCACAGCACCATGCTGGAACAAGGCAAGTCGTAGTGAATCATTTGCCTTCCATCGTGTTTCATGGGAAACGGACAGAACTTTTCGATCGATCTTGGAACGGCGTGGTCGAAAGCTGAACCTAGGAAGCTATCATTAGCGAACGCAACAACGCCTCATACTTTTGAGCGATACGGACGTTCAAATTTGCAAGCCGCATCTTTGAATTTTTAGGTTATTCAAAAAGAAGAAATGGTTCAGAAAAGGGTTTCGTGGGTAAAAGGGTTGAACGGATCGAAGAATCAAAGGGTGGCGGGGTGGAGGTATACGGAAAAAAAGTCAAGGCAGGCACCTTCACTCTACCAAATCTAAAATTAAACCAGCAAACAGCCACTACAACAATCAAATCACCAAGTCTGTAAATGGCACAAAGGAAAAAAAAAAGAGTCTCAACCAATATAATCATCATTTTAACCGTCTATTCCGCTGCACTCAGCTACATACCCAGTCCTATTGCAGATTCCATCCCCTACCCTCATACCTGTGTACATGGCCGATTAAACTGCTAGGAACAAACACAAAAAAACAGCAAATCCAAATCCTCCCTTTTTTCATCCGCGGCGCATATGATTTCGAGCATCCAAAAGACAAATAGAACACGAAACTAGCCATCCAAAGCTTGCTTCAAATAACGACAATGACAGGACCATTAACCCGGCTCGATAGATTACCTCCCGACTCCTTTCTTGAGTGGATTCCACGATAAGATGTATATATAGGACAAAACAATAAGGGAAATTAAGGGAAAAGATAGACAGGTATAGAGTGAGATAGTTTGACTGAAATCAGGGGGGGCGGATAGATAGGTGCCCATACTTTTTTTCGTAGGAAGAAAAAAGTAGGGGGGCTATCATTATTAATCGGGGAAGCAACGATATGCAAAGCATTAGTGTTTGTTGCTGCCCTCAGATATTCCATGCCCGTTGAATAGATATGATATGACAGAGACAAAAAAAAAAGACCTGATAGGAAAAACGTTCGTTGTGTAGCGCTGGTTTGCTGATAATACATGGGGTAAAAAAGAGATGCCGCGCAGGTGAGATTAAGGAAAATAGCTTGATGTAACGTCAACATAAAGACTCGATGCCAATAGGGCTGTAACAGTAGTAAAAGAGTGTCGGGGTTTCTCGAGTTGATTGTTTTTTTGTTTCTTCTTTTTTCGATTGGTTCCGCTTTCATTAATTCACATTCGGATTGCCGTAAAACTGGGATATCCCCCAGTCAGCACCCTGACTGGGCTGCTGCTGCTGATGGTGTGCCGATGTGTCGAGAAAGGTTGAGCTCGCAATGCTCTCCCAGTCTTCAAAGATGACGGGGGCGGGAGAATATTCAAAGTCCATCATGCCGTCCGCCAACGACGGGGCATGGCCCGGAATAGGGGGCAGCTCCCGCTTGTCGAGTTGAGAGGTCATGGGAGAAGGTGTTGATAGATTGGGTGAGTGCTGCTGCACCGAGGAGGGAAACGCCTGGGACGGGACAAAAGCCGCCGAGGCTCGGTAAGGAGAGGTGCCAAAGGGGTTCGAAGTGACAGAGGCGGGAGACGCAAGCATCTGCTGCGGTGCTTGGGACGGCAATGCCGCAAAGGACATGCGCCCATCCTGCTGCTGCTGCTGCTGCTGCTGCTGCGGGAAGCCGGAAGGAGGAGCCATCATGTTGGGTGCAAACTGCGGCTGTGGTGAGGGAGCCGCAGCCGGGGGTTGAGCGCTTGCAAAGGCCATATCGGAGAGGTCAAAGGCCACGCTGACGATCCATTGAGCCTCGCCCTCGTCGCCAGAGAAGAACTCGAGCAAGTCTTGGAGCTGGCCGGGGTTCTCCTTCTCCAGGAAGCCCTGAGCACGTCCCGTCTTGCTCGGGTGCCAACTGAACTGAGGACGACGTCCGCCAAATTCAGCTTGCTTGGCCGTCACGAGAGCTTCCCAGGCCCCGTGGATGAGTGGCTGATGCAGGAGGCCGTAGATGACCCTCGAGTGCATCCACTCGGCCTTGCCCAGGCCAGACTCGAAATGCCGGGCCACGTGCTCGACGTGACGCTCGCGCGCAGGGTGAAGGGCAGAGCAGAAACCACAGGCCCAGTACTTGCGCTTGCGGAGGAACTTGACCACCTTTTCTGCGTGGGGACACGTCTTGCAGCCGTGGCACTGCTTGTGGTGCTGGTTGAACGAGTTGGAGCCCCAGAAACTGCGGTTGCAGCCTGGCTCGGGACAGGGATACTTTCTCCAACGCTCGTGAAACTCATCCTCGTGACGCTTCCAGTCATACTTTCGCTTGAAGCTGGTCTCGCACGAGGTACACCAGTAGATGTTGGTCTTGTTGGCTGAGGAAGAAGCGGCGGGAGTCATGGGAAGCGACGCTTGGGTGCGCGAAGACGAAGCCGATGCCCAGGACATGGATGACCGTGCAGAGTTGACCGACCACACAGAAGCATGGCCAGAGGATCCGGAGCTGGTTGAAGAGACGGAGATGCGAGGACGGTGGTGGAGATACGGCATCGGTGGCGAGATGAAGGTCGAGGCATCAGACTTGACGATGCCGCCCGCCGCAGCCGCCCGCGATGCCTGGGCCTGGGGGGCTCCGGGCATGGAACTGGGGGCTTGCGGCAGCACGGCCGCTGCGGCCCAGGCCCTCGACACATCGTCGGCGAAGGAGGAGGGCTCTGTTTTGATTATTGCGATGGAAGGAGGTGCGCCGTTGACGGGAGACGTCGAGCTGGCGATGGTGCCGGAGCTGGAGACGGGAATGGGAGAGGTGGCGGCGGATGAAGCCGACAGAGACGCGACGGGAGAGCTGTGGACGGCGGCGGAGACGGGCGTAGGAGCCTGGTTCTGAGGAGCGAGAGCCGAAGCCTGAGGAGACTGCAGGTGATGCGAGGGCGAGACAGAGACGGGGTGAGAGAGCAGCGGCGAGGGGATGGGAGTGGCGGTAGAGGCCGGAGGAGTAGATGTAGATGCGGATGGCGGTGCCTGGCCGGGGAAGGAAAGCTGGAGAGAAAAGGTATCGTCGTCAACCCATTGGTGAAGCAGGTCCTTGGACAGACCCGAGTCGATCAGGACCTGCAGGTTCTTGCGCGCCTCGACGAGGACATCCTGAGGAGTGGCCGAGTCGAGCTGCTGCTGCTGTTGCTGCTGTTGCAACTGCTGCTGGAGCTGCTGCTGCAGATGTGGCTGCTGAAACTGAGACACCATTTGAGACTGAGGCTGGCCCAGCTGGTGGAGCTGGTGAGACTGCAGAGTTGGGTCCATTGAGAGAGCGCCTCACATCTGACGGCCCCGGTGAGCTGGGAATGGTGTTGATCCTCCTCTTGTTCCTTTTTTGGTCTTGTTCTATTCTTCTTCTCCTTGTCTCTTGTTGTCGCAGCAAATAGATGGTAAGCGAATGGCGGCTGTTGCGCTGCGTTGCGTTGATTTTCTGGGTTCGAGCAAAGCGGAATGGCGGTTTGTTTGTTTGGTTTTTGGTTCGAAGGCGCAACCAGGAAATTGGACGAATTGGGAGAAGCGAACGAGGAAGCAAAATCAAAATCAAAATCAAAATCAAAACGAATAAAAAACCGAAGCACAAAAATCAATAGAAACACACAAGAAAACGAGTGAAGTGAAGAGTAAAAAGAGCGAGGAGTTGTGCGCGAGAAGAGACAAGAGACAAGAGAGAACAGGGAGGAAAAGCAGGGCGAAGGATAAGGATAAGGAGGAGTAGGAAGAAGAATGTGCGTGTGAGAGCGCGAGCAATGGGAAGGTGAGGCCGGGCGGTTGTGGCTGCGGGAGGGAAAGAGAAGAAAGGAAGGAACGGCGCCTGTACGAGAGTACGCCGCGCAAAGTACTGCCAGGTACGGAGTACTGGTGCAGAGGTACTTTGCAAGGTAGTGCCGTGGCCTGGGGACCGCTGCGGAGTAACCAGTACGGGGCCGGTACTTTGTCGCAGGTACACGTGCTAACGGCTGGCCAAGGCTCCGGCTGCGCGAGCGTGCTAGCGGGCTTTAGCAGGGCCCAAGTAGCTTCTAGTACCTGGTTTAGCGCTGCAGCTGGCCTTCAGTGGGCAATCGCAGCGCCCGGGACAGCCCGTGAAATTGTAGCAGGATTAGGCGAGCCCAGGAAATCAAATAAAAGCAAAATCGAGAGGCACAGAGAGGCGACGAGGGGCTGCTGTAGCAAATAGAGTGGCGGCAGCAGAATCGAGGCTAGCGTGGGCTATTTTGTTTTTCTCTGGTGTTTTTGCTGTGCTGTTTTGCGCTGTTGGCGACTGAATTGCTTGCAAATAGTACTAATTGAATTAGAATGGATCAATAATCGAGACCTGGAGCAATGATGACTTGGCGGATAGGCGCTGTAGGCTCAGCGGAGAGAGAGGTACAGTACAGTACAGCTGAGGTACTTAAGCGGCTTGTAGATGTCTTGTGCTGCGTCGCACAAACGGTACCGCCGAC